AAAAGAATATATACTGAAAAAGTGAGACTGAGATCAAAAGTGAGCTCATCTAAGTTTTATGGCCCCCAGGCCAGAAGTCATTTGAGAGGTTGTTTTCACTCAATAATTCTGACAAGGCTGCCAAGAGTCCAGTTGAGGGAATGTAAATTGTTAATTTATAAAGTTGGTTCAATCTTAAAAGTAAAATGATTCCAACCTGAATTATAGAACATGAAAATTTATAACATTTTAACTATTTTGTTGGTGTTAAATAGTTTAAAAATTGAATTTGAAAATCAAACTAACTGGAGTTTAACATATTCAAATTGTTCTGTTGGGATTTGAAAGAAAAAACAGCATTTCATGGTTTTAAACCTATAGATGGCAAATATTTGTTATGAATCACCCACAAATGTGACAAATGTGAATACAAGTAATAAGTTGTCATTTTTAAATATTTATTGGGATATAAATACAGGTTAGTTCATGATCAACTTTACCACTGTTAAATCCTAAAAAGTTAAAATTAATAGGATACTTATTTCTTAAATTATAAATCCAGACAACATACTGTAAAGAATTTTTTCATATAGCAAGTGATTATTAAGGCCAACTAGAGGTACTGTGAGCGATGAGCTCACTAAATGATACCCCCCGCCTCCATATGGTTATAACTGGTGAAAAAGTCCATGTTTTCCTGTGGCCGGGAAACCCAAAATATGTGTCGGATCAAAAAGTAAAATAGGAGGTGCACAATGGCAATATGTAATAAAGATTCTGTGAAAGTTTCATCAAATTTCATTCAGTGGTATGAGAGGAGTTGCGGATAAGAGATGGGTACCCCAAAGCGTAACAGACGGATGGACGGAATTAACGATTACTATATACCCTCCCGCTTTTCAAGCGGGGGGTATAACAAGCAGTATTGGTCAGTCCATTTGACAACATTATAATTTTTGTTGTACACTTTCTACTTTCAGTTTACAGAGCTGGTACGTGAGGGAAGCTAGGTTGTTGATTGAGGAAAGAGAAAGTAAAGGGTTACCTCATATTGACAAGAACTTTATTGACCCCAGTAAGATAGTGCTGCCATCAGAGGAGGAAATCGAGGCATTGGACATTGACATAGTGGTCTAAAAAGCTGGATCCTCCCATGGACTCAAAACGATAATAAAATTTATGTTTGTTTTGTATAGATAAATCTTTATGTATTTATAAAGTGTGCAGTACAAATCTTGTCACTGTATTTGAGATGTGTATTGTTGGACAATTAAAAAATATAAAGGATTTTGGAGTTCAGAGTTTTTTTTATCATTCATGCTTACTTATTCTTGCATTAACTATTAAATTTATTCAGAATGCAGTAATGTATATACTTAGTACACTCATTCAATTTTGGAAAAAATCATTCAAGCCATTCCATTATATGGCATATATGAGTTTTTACTCTTCCACCATATTTTAAATATATTGAAGAATTAGTATTAATTCTTAATAAACATTTATTAAGGTATATAATTCCCAAACCAATTTTGCTTACCTAAGCTTTAGATTCAAGTGAGCTTTCCTGGTAGCAATTTGTTCATTGTTGTCATTAACTTTTCATCCCATTGTATTGTAATTTGAGGGGATTTTGTAAACATTGCAAAACAAGTAATAATTCATACCAGAATGATTATCTCTTTTTCAAATGGATGTTTTGCTTTTGCCACATGCAGGTCACACAAAAGTTTATAGAGAATTAGTGTAAAAATGGCCCAAACATTGCATTTTAAATACCTTAGACAACATATGACCAAACGATACACTGTATTTGCAAACAGGGTCATTGTATCAAGCATAGAATTGGCAAAATTCGGGCCTGAATCGAGAATGTTAATCTCTTGACATCTTTGACAACTGTTTTGTTTGTTTGTGTGTTTTATATGAACATATAACTTGTAAATTTACCTACCTTGTTACTGATAATTTGCCAAATGACTTTGTTAAAAACATTCTGGTTGTACATACAAAAGTTCTCTGAAGTTAATATTAAAAAGATGCTTGTGTTTCTGATTGAAAATATTTAAGTGGTTCTTGGAGACCTAATAATCTCTTGGAATTCCCATGGATACAATTTGCGCCCCGTTATCGACGACTTATTGTTAATGGACAACGGTTAGTTCCATTGATTTAATTTGAACATATTTTATTGCACTAAATATATACAATGGGATTGGGCACAAGTTCTAAAAACTTAAATCGCCCTCTCCCTACATGAAATATTATAACAGGATGAATTAGAAGTGTTCAACAGTTTGTACAAAATAGATTACTAGTAACTTAAATTAACTCACAATGTAGACATATATATACTGCTACATTATTGTTTATACAAATAATTATAAAATGAGAACAATCAATTCAATCTACCAGAATGCTGAATATAGGAATGTACAATAGAGAAGAGATATTCATTTTCAGCAATACTGAGTGATGTATCCCCCTAGAGTAAAGTCTGAATGTTATTTCCATTCTTATGTTGATACGATTTATTCCGGTGCAGTAATAGATTCCTCAGAGTCTGACAAATCTGTTTCATATTTGGATATTTTACTAGAAAATGGTAATCTATCAACCAGGCTGACTTGATGACTTTTAATAACTTTCCAACTGTCAACTTACCTAACTTATGCAAGAAAAACCTTTATTACCTGCATACGGGGTTTATATCTCTCATCAGTAGATTAAACAGGCAAGATCATGCTCTACGTATAAACAATTTCTAGAACGAGAAAAGTTATTGCCAAATAACTTGATGAATTAAGAATATCAACATTCTCGTTTAAAGCCAATATTTCGAAAGTTCTAAGGTCGATGCTCTGATTCAATGACCTTGTCAGCAAATACAATTTATCATCGAGTCAAATGCTGACTGATGTTTTTCGTACTAATCGTTAGGCCATTATTTACACACTGAATTGTAGACGAATTTTCCCGTTATTTCTGGAGCATGACAAGGAGCACACGGCGGGTGTGACCAGTCGGCAGTGAATGCTCAATCCTCCATGGCACCTGATCCCACCTCCGATGTTTTGGAGGTCTTTGTTTGCTCTGCTCCTGATTCGTTTTATTTAATAGGATACTGTTATCTCCATTTCACCCCAACTTATTTGTCGAAAACCTGTCTTATTTATAGAATTTATTTGTACGTAGAACATACGAATCCACTATGAGTAATAAACTTCATATTCAGGATCATAATGCTATATTTTTTTATGCATGACTAAGAGAAATCCGCAACAGAAAAGTTAAAATCTTCATGTTTAACATATATGCCGTCAATTATGAATATCTTTTTGTAGTAAAATACTCAAATACAGAGCAGATTGCTTCTTTAGAAGGCTTTATAGTTTTTGAAATTGGTACGTGCTCCATTGACTGGTAAAATATTGTGACCCTCAATATATTTTGTATATGTAATTAAAATGATTAATTGACAAAGTTTAATCCATATTATCTATGTCCATTTTAAAACTTCTTTAATGAAATGCTCGTCCTATCATAGAAAAAAAGGGGGAAAAAAGGAAAGAAAATCTAAAGAAAGATGTTTCCAGTTGCTCACCTTAAGGGGCTCGTATTACAGAAGGACTTCCGACTTAAGACCAAGATTTATTCTTCATATAACTTTTTAATTAACATTTTATCAAAAATTATTTTAAACTATTTAAAAGGAATGTGGTAAGATATTTTTACACAAACAATTTCAAAGAGAATTATTAATTTTTCAAAATTTTACAATCATCTGAAGTTTTTGGTCTAAGTCGTAAGTTCTTTTGTAAAACGGGCCCCTGAACTTCATTGCTGTCTCCTTTTAGAAAGTGACGGCACTTAAGTTGAACATGATCTTGCTTATACAGGATACAGGAGAAAAGAACAACATACATGTATGTAGTTAACAGTGGAATGTTATAACATAAAAAGGTGAAGTCAACAATGGAAACCCTGAAGTCATGCTAAAGATGACCAATAATATTTAAAGTTAGTACAACATTCAAGTATTAAAGGTAAACAGTTATAGCAGATTCTTTACGAGATAGGAAAATTTTTGAGTTCCTTTATTACTCATGTGAACAAAGAGGCAGCCGTCTGTGGTATTTAAAAGCCGAGTCTTTCATTAAATGTGAAGAGGGATTGATTTTATATACATGTAAATTAAGTGTGATAAAATCATATGTTATAATTTAACTAATTTTGAAAAAAAATTGTGTTTTGCGTGGCAGTAGCATTAATTGAAATGTTATGTATCTTTATATAATGGCAAGAGGGCTAACAGCGCTGCAATGCATTCCGAAAATATAATATAAGCGTATTATGACAAGAAGCATAAGGGCAAAGAGCTAATTAATTATCATGTCAGGGATTTATTTCAGAACTGATAGGGTGTCTAATCTGATTTAAATGACAAGGAAGACAATGACAATATCCGAATAAATTTGGCTTTACTTTAGGGAGATATACAATCAGGGAACGAAAAATAAAGATCAAAAGTCCATTGAAATAATACTCCTTTCGACCAGTCACATCACCATGTACTCATCATCATGATCATGGAAATCGAAAAAAAAATATATCGTTTGACCATTCAATGTGAAAATAATGACCTTACAATTTGTATAACAACGTCTGTCATTAGAAAAACCCAAGATAGTAATTATTTCACTACATTCAAGAAACTCTGCCGAAAAGTGGATGATTTAAAAATTCATAAAAAAAATAAATTGTAAAGAAGACATGACTTAAATAATTTTATTTCTAGCTTTTTGAGATATCAAGTTTTGCATTTTTATTTCTCATTATTCCTACCAGAAAAAGAGGATAATTAGTATCAGTATATCAAATCCGATTTCAAAACTGTCATGTCTCCCTTGTAGCATGATTGCCGTCTCGAGGCGTGCCTTCATTAATGATCAGCTTCTCAGATGAAGTATTTAAGTCTGAGAGATCTATGCGTCTTTTTTACGTCGTCTCTGACCCGAAGCAAGCATGTCTTCAGGTATTGAAACAATGGTAGTGTCTCAATTTGTAGAAAGCAAAGTCAGAAAATGGTTTCAGCTCAATAATCTAAAGAGGGATGGATTCATAAGCAAACAGGATTATTCAGACATGGCAGAAACATTCACGAAAGAGTTCGATTTAGACGAGAAAAAGGCACAAGCAATTCGAAACTGGTTAGAAAACGGTTGGGAAATTTTGATTAAAAAAGGAGAAGAAATCACAGCACAAGGAGGCGTGGGAGGAGTGTCCCCAGAAAGTGCTCCCAAGCTTCTAGAAGTAGGAAAAAAGATGCGAGAAAATGGCCAGATTTCTGAGAACGAGTACATCGGAGCATTTAAAGAACTTGTTGGCTTCAATAAAAATTTGTTTGTCGAAACCTTTGCCGGCATGGTAGGGAGCTTTTTTGACGCCTTCGATGTGAACAACACTGGTTATCTAACGAGCCAAAATTTTCAGAAGGGTATGAAGTGTTTTGGAATGACTAATACGGAGGCAGTAGACACAATGTTCAAAGCTATGGATACAAAAAAAGAAGGAAAGATCGATAAGGAAACGTACGTCGGTCACTGGATCGAATTCATGACCGGGGATAACAAGGAGGGAGTGATCGCCCAGTTCCTATGCAGAATGTAACTCTTTTCATCATGAACTCACAGAAACTAAAGTGGAGTTAGGACAATTGGACGTCCTCTCATCTGAATGGGTAATAAATGTTAAAAAAAGTATTTGTGACTGTGTAATTCTGTTATCAATGAAAATGTGATTTATTAACTGTAAAACAGAATGCAAAGTATATAAATCCTCAGTCATCTGTGTCTGTATTCAATTTAGAATTCTTAATGGAGAAAATTGATGTTTATTACATAAAGAAAAACGAAAATTCTATGTTTTGACTTGCTCTTTGTACACTTTCTAGAGAGGAGTAACGGTAAGCATACATACATGTACAGTAATACCGGTATTATGGTACATTTCTTTCTATACATAATCAATGCAAGGTTGCCTAAACTGAAAGTCTTTATTACAAGGGAATACCCTTAAGTTTGTTTAAAATATTGCCTCTTGATCACACGGTCAAATTGCCTGAGATTTAATTTCTTTGCACAGGAGGATGCTACAAACATTAAAATGTACTCCAGGCTGGACGTTATTCACGGCAGGAACGTTTAAAAAGAATTTTCACTTTAAACTCAAAACTTCTCTCGCGTTTACTTAATACATGTAATAAATACTAGTATCAGTTTTACATGTTTTCATGTTGTTGAGTTGGTGTGACCAGTCGGCAGAGGATGCTCACTCCTCCATGGCACCTGATCATAAGTAATTGGTGATAAATATGGTAACCTTATAATAAGTAATAGTTCCTGTTCTTTAGATTCCTTCGTAGTCCCTTTTGATCGTAAGGTTGTGAATTCGAACAACGGCTGTGACTTACCTAAATCGATTTAAAAAATAAGTATTGCTACTTTTCCTTCGCAGAGTATTTCAAAGTCAAAGTTGCGGGACATCTTGACGAAATCTTAAATTCCGAGATCCAGTGTTCGTTGGCACGAAAATGAACCTTTCCTGCTCAATGGTTCTGAGCCTTAGTCAAATTTCCCGGCCGGTGGCATAGACCGATGGTTATCGGTGGCAATCTGTGGTGTGAGCGATGCCCCAATCGGCCTAGTAGTCCTAAAACTATCAGTTACATTAGCCATCGGTGGGGTATACGATGGGCGACCAATGCGTTTTTTGATAAAAATGGCGTGGTTGCCGACCGGACTTACAAAGGACGAGCGATGTATTGCTCATCATAAAAAGATGTTCCAGGGTAATCGGCCGATGTATATTACATCGCTAATACATTGGCGAACATCGGTCGTACGTCGAACTACTATGAGCCAATGTTTGGTCAAACATCGATCGATGATCGGCCGAGGTCTGTTGCCCACCAATCAACCCCCCGATGACCTCAGATTCAATGGACACTTGACGATGCCATATAACGGCCAATCCCTGAAAGATGTGTTAATGATGGGTTGCCGGTTTGGATCGATGTGGGGCATCGGTGGAGATATTGGTGATTTTTAATTACAACTTATTTACTACCGATGACCCCCACCGATTCGCCAAGTGGCCTCAGTCACCGTCCGATTACTATAGGTGCCCGGCCGGTAACCACGTCATTTTTATCAAAACCCGCATTGGTTTCTCATCGTATACCCCATCGCTGGATAATGTGACTGATGGTTTATAAAGTATCAGTCACAGTATCCAGCGATTGGGGTATACTTTTTTTGATTTGACGAATCGGTGGGGGTCATCAGTAGAAAATAAGTCGTAGTCAAAAAAAAAAACAACGATGTCTCCACCGATGCCCCGGATCTCTCCTCATCGGCAACCCATCATTAACACATCTTTCGAGGATTGCTCGATGTATGGCCGAACATCGTGTCCCTTGAATCTGAAGTCATCGGGGGATCGGCCGATTATCGGTCGGTGTTCGACCAAACATTGACCCATAGTCGACCGACCTAGGAACGATGTTCACCAATGTACGAGGGGTGTTAGAAAAGTTCGCGGACAAGTTCTATTGTGAGCGCGCTATTTCCATGAAACCGGTCAAACTTTCCAGATATAATCTTGACATTTTTTCCAATAAATATACAAGAATTTGGTGCTCTCCGGTCATTATTGAAAAATATACGGCATTTTTATTTTGATAAATCTTGCTTCACGGAGCATGCTGCATTGTGGCACGTTTACATCACAAAGACTCTATATTAAAATTAAAAATTGCACAATTGTAGTGCTAAGAGATTTATGATATTTTACCTGCCGCTAAAGTATGCAGGAAACGTCATTGGGAAAAATGTTGAACTAAATTGGAGGGTATATGGCTATTTTATAGCTGTTTATAAATGATCAACGCGTAAGAACACAGCCAAAAATCGGAACGTCATTGAGCGTCATGGAGCAGTGCACTACGTAAAAATTATGTGTGCAGACAGGAAAATGTCTAAAAAGAGACTAAAATGTTTAAGATGCTGCCGGGAATATCCTACACATACAAAGAACAAGTTTTCAAGTGGTTGTAGCTTCATAAGAAAAGGAGAAACATTTTAAATGATTAACTACATCGATACTTCAATACCCCTCTATCGCATGGACGTTGCGTTGCGCCTATGTTTTGCATAGTTTCCATACCTGATCGATTGAATGCATAGCCTTTTTATTTTTTATTTTTTAAGATCTCAATAATATCCGAAACAGATAAAAAGACATTATAGTTGAAAAGTAACATGTCTTGATATAGATATTCAATTTTAAAGTAGAAAAAATATGAGAAAAATATAAAGAAATTAAAGATCCATAGAACTGCGACAAAGCTTAAAGGGTTGAAATCTGGTTGTCACGTCGCCTTACGTCAAGTGATTGCTCCGTGAATCCCATGACCCCATAGTAAAAATAGTTGTAAAATTTTAAGATTTTATTATATTGACCTGATTTTTTACATACCAATAAACAAAATGTAGGAATTCATTCAGTCATAGGTCATACTTCACAGTAAACAATAGATTTTCTGTAATTCAATGTGTCCGCGAACTTTTCTAACAACCCTCGTATGAGCGGTGTATTATTCATCGGCCGATTACCCTGAAACATCTTTTTATGATTAACAATGGATCGCCAGGCCTTTGTAAGTCCGGCCGGCAAGCACGCCATTTTTATCAAAAAACGCATTGGTTGCCCATCGTTACCCCATCGCTGGATAATGTGACTGATACTTTAAAGGACTTCTAGACCAAAGTTTGGGCATCGCTCACACCACGGATTACCACCGATTACCACCGGTCTACGGCCACCGACCGGGGAATGTGACTAAGGCATAAAGGTCTAAATTTAAAGCTCTTCAACGGTATATGGTGACTCTATTTCAGTGAAAAACTTTGAACGGGACAAAAAACAACATACAATCCATTCATCATCAATTGTAATCCCTTTGAACATTAATCATTTTAAGATGAAAGATTATTCTTTTACTGCTTTTAATTTATAAAGTTAACATTCAAAGACATAATCCATAAAAAAAATTTTTGAATGTACTTTGTATCTATGTATATCAACAGCATGTATATTCTACAATGAGACTGAAGTGTCCATTTCATATCTAAAAGCATAGACGTAAAATTTGACCTTTAATAAATAAATAAATAGCAATAATTAATAAATAGAATGATTTAAAGTAGTAAAAAAAAGAAGTAATTAGGAAGTTGATTTTGTTCTGAAACAACAAATCTTTCGCTCTTCTACTACAGTTACAGGAATAGATTTACAGAAATCTGATTTTTACTGATTCAGAAGAAAAAAAAGACTTTCCTTATCTTTTCTTTAGATTTTAACAAATCTTATGTGGAAATAAAAAAGGTCTAAAGGTATCAACCAGCATTGCACAAAAGAGTCATTTTTAGCCTGGCTGTTTTGTAGAACAAAATCTTGATTTCGTGATATTTCTTCAACGTTGGGTCTCATTTATTCTATTAAAAAGATCATGTTTTTGAGTTGATTCTTCTAAGGTGATTCAATTTATCTATATTTGTCTTAAGTTTTGAAGATGGAAATAAATGGCTCTGCTGAGTATAATCCATTACGTACTCTTTGTGCGATTCCTCACAATTATAAAGATTTTCCCACACATTTCAAATTCCCACACGTTCTATCGATGGCTTATAATGACAAATCGACGCTTACGTTCACAAACCTCACATTTTATGACATTCATTCTCTTTTCTAACTTCAGATCTTTTAGCATTGTTTCTCTTCATTTTGTATGACTACACATGCGTATCATCATCTTCCTCAATGTCCGTAATGAAGTACATGGGGTTCTCTTTCGTGACTCCAGAGTTCTGGTCAAACGCTTCATCCATTGTCAGGTATTGATCTTTAATGTTAGGTTCCTTACTGTGGCGGGCGTTACCTCTCCTACAATATTAACACAGACTTAAAAAGTTATGGACTGTAACTAAATGCAGACAGCTATTTTTCAAGAAGAGGTTGAAAAGTTTGTCATTTATCTCTTTGAATAAGAAATATATGTAGATCTACCATTTATAGTATAATTATTATCTATATTATACTTGAGATGTTGCAGATAACACGCCAAATTTGTTATGTCTAGTTCAGTAAAATTTTGTTTGAAAAGTTTGAATAAATACAGGTGTACAGAAGAACTCAGGGCATTTTCTTGGATTGGTCAGACTTTCTTTATCAGTAAGTGTAGATGTAATTCAAGAGCGAAGAATGTCGGTGAAAAGATTCGTGATATTCGTAGGGGTTCTAAAGTTGGTGATGAACTCCATTAAATTTAAACAAACCCTGTAATTAATGCAGAAATACTGCAGATCTTTATTCATACGTACTTACTTCAGTTTTACCACGATAATAATGATGATAACCAGTACGAGAAAGCCACCTCCCGCCCCGGCAAGTATAGGAATATTTTGTTTTATCCAGCTCTAAAAGATTAAAGAAATTAATGAAAGGCGTGTAAGACCTTTTATTTTGTATTCTATTTCAGCCCGATTTCACTTTTAATAATGCAACAGTTAACATAAGACTGCTGTGTTTCTTTTTTTGTTTGAAAGTCAATATAAAAAAGGTATCATGACAAAAACTTGAAAGACAAAGCATTCTTATAATTGTCTTTGTTATCATTCTCAATGCATTTCTTTATTTTCAATACATTTCTTTCATTTCTCAGATTATTTTTGGGATACATTGTGTTTCTATTAAATAGAATATAGCTCCAATGAAATGTTCTTTTCAAAACGCTTTCATGTCTTAAGCATGTTTTTCATTGCAGTCTTTATACAGACTACAGAAGTGTAGGGTTTGAATGTGCTCTGATTTAATTCTAACAGATATTGTTGAAATAAATGATTAAAACAGTTCAATGTCATGGTTCTTTTGAACTGCTCACATGCTTATGTGAGTGAAAATCATTAAATCTGAATTTGTCCAGATTAAGTGGAAAAAATATTAAGCGAAAAAAAAAAATGATAAAACCTTATTATTTGCATCATCTTTGGCTTTCAATCTTGATAGCTCAAAAGGAAAAGCAGCCTTCAGTTGCGTGTTTGACATCTCTTTAAATTTTGTTTCTAGTCGGTCCCGTGTGAGGGGTTTTCCATCACAAATGACTGGAACTTGAAAGTCCGTATTCCCGTTGCTTATTGGAAAGAAACAGAATTTATGGTAAAAGAATAGAATTCTGTTAATATACGATAAAGATTTACACATGTCTTAGATAGAATATTTATATACTAGTAACTATGCTAAATATAACTTGAATGTAAATGCATTTACATTTTACGATATTTGTGGGATATCATAAATATAAACATAGAATATTGACTAATTTTAATTTTACCTGTATGACAAGGTATGATCCTTTGACAAAACGCTGACGTCATGACATAAAGAGGAACATAAGACCTGTAAGGAGCTTTCTATTTTATTAAGATCTTGGTCTGTGATATGTCCTGTAAACTCTAGCATTATCTTCTCCACTCCGATTAACCCTATAAGAATAGAACAATATTTATAATTTAAAACACTTTTTATAATAATAAAACTCGGTATTTATATATTTCTGCAATGAAAGCATCGTATAAATGGAATAGCAAAACAAAGAAAGATAATTTTTTGTATATAATAATTTTTCTTTCTGCATGTAACTGTTTCCAAGAACGTCTGAAATAGTTCTTTGGGAGTGATTGATCTCCTTTCTGTCCTATCCAAACCTAATTTTTACAATGAGGAAAGCAATAGTCTTTGAAAAAAAATAACATATACATGTAGTTCAGTTTAAAACTTTGAACCATTTCTCGTGACCCCGTTTCTGTTCTCGGGATCACAATTAACCTGATAACTGCAAAACATGAGACCAGATTTGCATATGTATATTTGGAGTTTATGGTATTTGAGAGGTTTAAACAGGTTTTTGTATGCATTTCCTGCCGACTTTGGGTGAATAATTTTGGTTTCAATTTCGCCACAGGAGAATCTGGGTGAAGAAATCAGACTTATCTTTAAGATATTTGAATAGAAAAGGACAAACTATGGCTTTGCCTCTCAAAAGATCTTTTTGTTCTTTTTACAGTTCTTTTTACAGGATGTTCTTTTTTCTTATAAGAAACTTTGCACCATTGTATGAGTTTTTGGTACTACCATAAGACAGTTTTGATACATTCAAAATATATACGTATTAATCTAAAAGTTTAAAAGTTAAATATAATTAACTGAATCAAGAAAAAATAGGATGCATGCCTACTGTAGGTTTTCCATTCAATATTTCACAAGTTCTTCCCGAATGTCCTTCTTGGCAGTTGCACCTAAATGACCCAATAGTGTTAACACATATTCCGAATCCGGAGCATTTTTGTACTTCGCATTCATCTATATCTTCATCGCATTCTTCTCCTTTCCATCCATCTAAACACACACACTGGAATGATCCCGGCAGATTCCGACACGATTTAATATGTTTACACCGGTTCTCTTCGCATTCGTTTACGTCATTATTACATTGCTTTCCCCTCCATCCACGTAGACAGGTACAGTTATATCCACCAACGAAATTACGACATGTTGATCCGTGAAAACAAACATCATTGTTGCATTCATTTACGTCATTCTCACAATGTTTGCCCGTCCAAGAAGACGGACAGTTACAGTGAGCACTACCACGCGTATCTATGCAAGTTCCACCATGTTCACAAGAAAGAATATTGTTTTCGCATTCTTTTATATCTTCTGTGCAAGCTGTACCACCCCAACCTTGTCTGCAGTGGCAGGAATAACTGCCATCAGTATTAGTGCAGTTATAACTATTTCTCGTCGAACAAAAGTTATCAAACGTACACTCGTTTAGGTCTCTGTCACATGCCTCTCCTACCCAACCTTTCTGACAAGTGCAACTGAAGGATCCTGGAAAGTTAACGCACTGAGAGGCATGTTTACAGTCTCCTGTTGAACATTCATTTACGTCTTTCTCACAGGCAGGACCCGTCCAATATGGAGGGCAGATACAATGATAGCTACCGATGTTATCTACGCATGTTCCTCCATTACCACAGATATTATTATTTTTACACTCATCAACATTTATTTCGCAGTCCACACCAGTCCATCCAGGAAAACAATCACAAAGAAATCCGCCAACTTGATTTGTACAGTTTCCTTTATTATGGCATATATTTTGATCACATTCATTCACATCATTGGCACATTTAGGACCCGTCCAATTTGGGGGACATATACAAGAAAAGGAACCAAATATATTTTGACAAGTACCGCCATTCAGGCAGGAGTCACCGCCAAGGCATTCATTAACATCGGCCTGACACCTATCTCCCTGGTATCCTAAATCACACACGCACTGGAAACTCCCTGCCGTATTTGAACAGTTACCATGATCATTGCAGATACTTGGCTTCAAACATTCATTGACATCTTCTTGACAGTTTTGACCAGTCCAGTTCGAGGAACACAGACAGGTATAAGATCCTACATTATTCTGACAAGATCCTTCATGACGACAGGGACTGTACGCCGTACACTCGTCTACATCTACATTGCAAGTAGTCCCGTTCCATCCAGGATGACAGGAGCATGTAAAAGCTCCTGGGATATTTGAACAGTTTCCATGACTATTGCATGCATTCAGGAGACATTCATTTACATCATCTGTACAGTTTTTACCCTTCCAATTTTTGGGACAGTTACATTCATAACCACCTTTGACATTATTACATGTACCCTGATTTTTACAAGGCTGATAGTTTGAGCATTCATCTATGTCTGCATCACAATTTATACCGAACCATCCGCTTGCACAACTGCATTGATATGTACCATTAAGATTAGTGCACGTCCCATTGTTTTTGCAAACGTTTAAAAGGCATTCGTTAACGTCTTCTTGGCATCGTTTTCCCTGCCAACCTAAACTACAATTACAGTTATATGAATTGTCTGCCAAGTCCGTGCACGTGCCTCCGTGTTCGCATGGTGCTTTCGTGCATTCGGGAATCCTGCTTTCACAGTCTTGTCCAGTATATCCTGTAAAGTATTTTATGTATTACAGTCAAATTTTTTAGAGGAACAAAATCCAGCATAGATAATGATCACTACACTCTCAATTGTGTAATTTGATTTGTTAACATTTAAAGAATGTTGCCTATATTTGGCATTATATAATATTCCATGACCTTCAATATCTAAATAAAATTCGACAATTTTTGCTTACCATCCTGGCATTGTAAATATCCTTGATTAGTACAGTTTCCGTGGCTAGTGTCAACACAATACCTGGAACACTCATTGCCAAAGAAATGGGTGTTACAGATTAATTCTCCATAATCATTACATGTTCCATTGTTCGTGTCAACACAGTGTATATTACATTTTGGTCCGAAATAGTTGTCATCACAGATCATGGTGCCCGTCATATTACATCGGCCGTGGCTCCCAGAGACGTGAGAGGAACATCTGCCGGAACAGTCGACTCCATAGAATTCCACATCACACTGGACAGAAATAATCATACTCACCCTGAATTTGGAAGAAAAAAAAATAAATATTTCTATCTTTATTTACGTCAAAAACCATGTATACGACCACTTATTTTTAATACCGTATTTTAGAGGGTTGAATCGGCACCTGTAGCGACAGGAATGAAAAAATAATCATAACATTACTCATCAAGAATATTTTCTGTAAGGTTAGTGTACGTTCCCACTCTATCACGATTGAACTACTGAAATAATAAAAAGCCTTAATAGTGTAAAATGTTTTCAGATCCTAGGACATTTTTTTCTGATCTTGATCGTTGATTTTTTTTTTTTACAATCGTGTTATATTTTTTCTACGATAAACACAACCCTCACATTTTTAATCGTAATCTTCACATCACAGCATACTGCATCGTAACATAGGCAAACAAAACCCCCAGCTATTCCGATCGTGAACAAATCGCAACCATAATCTTATGTTATCGTAATATAGCAAATGAGTTCTTCATAAACACATTGAAACCTATATACATGTTTATGTAAAGGCATAGAAGGTGACGATAGCTTATTCTCTGACTATCCGCCCCAAGACTTTGCTATAAATTAGTTTTACTGTATTGTGAAACAATAAAATATACATCTTTTATGTAGCTTATACCTTGTCAAATAATTGTAGAGTATTGTGACATTCTGGTTCAAAACATTGGTGTATGCTATCTGGAAGAAGTCCCGTATCATAGTACGATTTTTGTTGCCTCCATCAAAGATTAGGAACTCAACAAATGTGTTATTCTGCAACGAAATTGTAATTAAAATTTCAAATATTACGGATGATAATTCTTAAGAATCAGATTCCTTAAGTCTACTGATTTTTATCCTTATCCATATGATCGAGAAGTTACTGTATACAATGTTATTTTTGGTTATTTTCGGCCTTTAACACTTGCAAACCATTTTTCCCGTTTTAAATTCGCCCATTCAATTTTTTTTCGTAAGAGATCATGTGGTGCATTTTTTTTAATTTCGTGACCAAAAGCAACGAGGCAAATAACAAAGGGATGAAATGCGCCTCTCAAGGTGTTAGAGGTCCATGTTGGCTTTTCCCCGATTTCTATTTCTCTAATGAGTTTTTGAGCTAAGTTACTGTTCTTTATCTTTATATTTTATAACATCGAGACAATATCCAGCATAATGTTGCAGCCTGAATTTTATATTGCAAAAATGAAACGATAATGCAAAATGATATAAGTATAGAAAAAACATAGCATTCCACACCACAATTTGGAAGATATCTGTACCTGAGTAGATTATATTTTGACTGTGTGATAGTGTTTTAATTTGAACCCCTATTTATACTTTAATTTGTATTCATTAATTTATAATACTTACATTCCATTTTGAGATTTCTACTTCCAGCGGGTTTCTCAGAGCACCAATAGTTGGCACATTCCTGAACTCGATATGCCTATTTTTTCCCAGTCGTCCAGTTTTTAAAGAATTCAAAACTTGCCCATTTCTTCCAACTCTGTAAATTTGCAAGAATTAGAAAACTATCTGCTTACATAAAACAAACAAGTTACACTTTTGATATACATGTGTACATGTCTACCACTTTACAATAAAGGATTACTACATTTACCGTTTAATAAAATTAATGTATAAAATATTATAGTATATCATCTTTTTATAGATCTTTTTAAAAGCACACGTATACTTAACTTAACATTTAAGTATACTGATGAGAAAAATGTTATATTTTATTAAAGACAGGAATATCATAATCATCATCTTCTTCAAAACCCCTTAGAGTTCTGGTTACGACTTTCATCAATTACGTGTAATACCAAATTGAAGATTTAACAAAAATTAGCATTGTTTCAATCTGATATAATTTTTATTACTTCTTTTTTTTGGATACCGATTTACAGTAAGATAAACCTAAAAACCAAGGCTTTATAGCATCATGCTCAAACTTTTTTTCAGATGGTTGATAATCCTGCAGAATCACATTATTGATACATAACGATATTACAAAATCACTCATTTTATTGGAATAAAAAGGAATATGGATATTTCCAATTTAGTACTCAAAATACATGTACTTCTTCGTAAGGTCATAATGAATCAGAAAAGTTTGTTTCCCCAATTAATCTTTCAATAAAATGAAATCCAACAATATTAGTCAAGTTAAGTTTTAAATGATGTTAAAAAAATTATTTGGTACAGTCACGATCTTTTCATATCATAGCAATTATGAGTTTTGGAGAAAAGCTCAATATTGTATCTATTATGCCTATGTCACAGAGAAAAGACCAACATGTGAAACAAAATTGAAAATAAAAGCCAGAAAAAGCAATGCCCGACAAACTTTCACAATGAGCAAACCAGTCTGAAATTCCAGTACACTATAAGTGAAAGCACAATGATCCGATATAAATATTTATTTATAAAGATATTTCATACCTGTATTAAACCAGTGCTTTTCTACGAATTAGAAACCTGTCCAGAGACTAACAACCTGGAGATTAATAGCAGAACTACAACAAAAAATCCAGGTATTTACCGACAAATGTACTAAGTAATATCTGTAAAGTGACCCAGCCAATATGAATCAAAATCTTCAACAAGAAAGGAGCACGCCAGTGGATTGGGAATACAAGTAGAAAGCCCCAACAGAGCATAAGTAAAGAAGCATTGGACTGGAATCCAAAAATATCAAAGAAAAAAAAGATCGAGTCTTGTACAGTTGGAGGAGTACAAGATTGAAAGAACTAGAAAACACTGGACAGACCTGGAATAAGGCAAAAAAGAACAGCCCAAAACAATAGAAAACAGTGGGCAGATCTGGAATAAGGCAAAAAAGAACAGCCCAAAACAATAGAAAACACTGGACAGATCTGGAATAAGGCAAAAAAGAACAGCCCAAAACAATAGAAAACACTGGACAGATCTGGAATAAGGCAAAAAAGAACAGCCCAAAACAATAGAAAACACTGGACAGATCTGGAATAAGGCAAAAAAGAACAGCCCAAAACTGAGTTAAGCGGAGAGCGACTGACAGTAGTAGCCCTAGGCTCTATAATGAACGAGGAGGATAATCTAGTAGAAAACACTGGACAGATCTGGAATAAGGCAAAAACAAGCTGTGTCGATTAAGGCAAAAAAGGCCCACTTCAGATCTGGAATCCACCTTGTCCTGGGTGAGAGAGGCAAAAAAGGCCCAAAACGTGCTGGAGGTTTTTAATAAGGCAAAAAAGCAGCCAGGAAACTCTGGAATAAGGCAAAAAAGAACAGCCCAAAACAATAGAAAACATGGAGCACAGCTGCCATGTTTGCGTTCCTAGCCTCGCTTTGGATTCAAAATGGCCGCGGTGAGAATAACAAGTATTACAATCATCGTTCGCTTAACGGTTGTTTGATTTTCGCCTTCGGTAGACATTGAGCAAAACCGAATTCCTAAACGTCGATCGACCGACGACCGCTAAAATTGTTTGCCGAAGGTGGGATGATGATCAAAGGTTGATCGATGTACTGTCCAACGTCTGCTTCATTTGGAGGAATTGATCACCGAATTGATCCGACTGACATGAAATTACACAGCCGACGAAAAAAAGAGGTAAAATGAACTGCAGACTGTGGCCCAAGAAATCCTATAAACTAGTATTTGCTTAAAAACCGTCTGCCGTAGATCGTTTTCGCGAAAAGTATTTTAGAAAACTGACCTGAGGTTGACTTCTATGGAAGGATTACAAGGTTCCACACATCTCTGGGTACTGGCTAATGTGTTTGTTCCACAACAGTGGTGTAGGGTATCGTTGTCTTGGTCCAGATATTGGTTTGCGTTGTTTGAGTAAGTTAGTAGATTAAGAGTGACCACTACGTTACCCTGTACCTAGAATATTATTATAAAGACTGTCAGAGGAAGAAACAAAACCATATTAATCTCTTTGGGTTTGTCTTTTTTTTTTGCTTCTGTTTTTCCTTACCAGTAGTAAAAGACTTGAAGAATTTTCCAATATCCACCATAAATACTTACAATTAAGTTTTCCACCACTAAGAGTATACCAACATATAAAAATTGTCTCGTGAATCCAGCCATGATAAACGTATGTCAATTAACAATCATAACGAAATATGTTTGAGTATATTTTGATTTCATTGATAGAACAATAGATATTCGCATGCTTCTGATTTAATTGTTATCCACTTTCATCTCGATAACAAAACAATGGGCGACGGTTAACCTTTGTGATGATAATGTATTAACAATAACTTCATACGATAAAGGGTGATAGGTGTTAACTGGTAAACAAACATTATATAATTACTATTTTTAAACATACTCAGCAAGAAAATAATGGGTAAATTTCTGAACCAATATAAGAATTTAATACAGTCATTCTTTTGAAATATATTCGAAAATTCTAAAGTTTTGATGTTAACCCTACATCTAAATTAATAATTTTATTCCTTACACAATTATTTTGATTCTTTTGATATAATTTAAGCCGCCAAAATAATATGTCTAACATATTGACGGTCCTCGCGGCGTTAAGCAATTAATATATTCGCAATGGTATATACGGATTCGATGCTTTTCACTACATATCAAGGCCGCAGAACAGTTTTGTGAGTGATTCTAAAATATCAATATGAAAAGAAAACAAAAACTCTTGGTATTTCATCAATGTTCGATATATAAAATTTCTAAAAGACTTATTCGGCCAAACACAAGGCAGATTGTCAGACATTGATAAAATTTGAATTTTAAACTTCCTATTGTCTTACAACAATACAACTACGTGTATAAACGAGGGGCGTTCAATAAATAATGTCACTGGAGCTCGGAGAGAAACAAAAAACAAAAACCAAAAAAAAAACACAACGCTTTTCTATGATTAAGTCTGAATGATTTAACTAAAATATTCTCTTTTAATTAAAACACATGTTTGTAACATTTTTATTCAATTTCTAATTGTTTTTAGAACACATTTTTGAGTATGACCCTTCGTATAATGGAATATGGCAGATCCTATGATTTGCTGTACTTGTTTTTTTTTCTTTCTGATTGATGTTTATCTAAGTTTGGGAAATAAAACAAGTCAAAGGTTGAAAGATCTGGCAAATTTTGTTGCCATGACAAAACATTAACTTTCTGTTTATCCCCAAAACTCCTTTACTCTTTATGGCCTGTGGGTTTGGACGCTGTCATGAAGAAATTTAATGTAGTGAATGCCTCATTCTGTTTCCTTCCTCTCATAAACCTTTCAATTTTTTGCAACAAAATTGTTTTCTAGACTCCTCCAGAAAATGGACTTCCTTCCCGAATATGAATTTGATCAATAAGACCGCTGATATATAATGAAATAGCATATAAAACTGTTTTTGTGCTCTTGCAATTCTTTGTTTTTTTTTTTAGGCCTTTGCAGTTTTGTCAAGTGCATCTTATTGTAAATTTGTTTTGAGGATTTAAAGCAAATTGGATTCAAGCTTCATTATCTGTTTGAATTTCAGACAAACGTGTATAAGTACAATTTTTGATTTTTTAAAAAAAATAATTGTTTAGATATTCCTACACGCTGTCGTTTTCACTCATTTTTCGAAATATAGGGTGAGCTTTGAGTATTAAACCTTTTTACTATCAAATGTTTCTTTAAAACAGTGTGAACTACCCCGAAAATGATTTCTATCAATTTTACTAAGTGTCTGTCAATAAAACATAATCAGTGATATTTTGTTGAATTTTCGCAAATAAACATTGATTGTTATAAGTCCTTGTTGCCAAGGACTATAACCATTTTTGATATCCATTATATAATTTTTGTCCCCCGCTTGAAAAGTGGGGGATTTTAATTTGGGTTTGTCCGTCCGTCTGTCCGTCCGTCCGTCCGTCCGTCCGTCCGTCTTTCTGTCTGTCTGTAACGCTTTCGTTTCCACACGATATCTGAACCCTTTGAGCTTTTGCAATGAAATTTAGCATAGCAACTCCCTGTGGACTGAAGAAGACCCCTATTGATTTTGAGGTCAAAAGGTCAAAGGTCAAGGTCATAAATAAGCAAATTCTGTCTGTTAAAACACTTTCGTTTCCACACGATATCTCTAGAACCATTTGAGCTATTGCAATGAAATTTTATATAACAAGTCCCTGTGGCCTAAGGAAGACCCCTATTGATTTTGAGGTCAAAAGGTCAAAGTTCAAGGTCGTAAATTTATACATTCTGTCTGTGTGAAATACTATTATTTCCAGGCGATATTTCAAGAAGATTTTGAGCTTATGCAATGTAATTTTATATCAAAACTCCATAGGACGTCTCTCGCCCCTCTCAAAGTGCCCCGCCCCGTTTGTTTTATTAGTATTTATAGTATTACATGTCGCTATTTTTAGCGCAGGGGCATGAGGAGAGTTATTGCGTATAAAACAGGTTCTCGGCGGACTTTATGTTCTTATTACATCTATTAGAACTGTTTAATAAAGGCTAAATAAATCAAACACCATGGATTGTGTAAAATTTTGAGAATACCGAACATGAATATATACATGTATGTGACTTCACTTCTGCATATACTTCACACCACATAAAGCGATTGCGTGGTGTAGTGGTTATGTCTCTCGCCTCAAGTGTGAAAGATCCCGGGATCGAATCTCGGTCGAACCTTCCTTTTTTTTTTTTTTTTTTTTAAATACTTTTTTTTTTTTTTTTTTTACTAAATGATAGTATTCAGCATGTGAAATGAAAAATTTATGAGGTTTTAAAATCATCATTACAGTGTGATAAAAATTCCATATAAAAAATCTTCTATACACATAATGAAGAATAAGCAATCAAATCTTTATATGCATATTGACATACATGCATTTTATTTGCTTCAGTATACATGTATACATTTAATAATTCTACAAATTCAGTCAGGGGGAGCCGACTTTTTCCCTAAGCGGGGGACACGAATTCTCTGAATTAGCTTGTTGTTTATTGAAATCCACCTGTTCACTTTTCTATAAAACAGACATTGGTTGCTTAAATTTCACATATTTCAGTTAATAAATTTTTGGGATATTAACAAGTTTTACAGCTGCTTTAATGAAGCGTTTAATTTTACTCTAGTTTAATGATTCTTGACCATTCATTTTTAATGCAGTGTCTCGAATAGCCCTTGTTTTCCAGCTTCCCACAATGAAATAAGGCAATGAAAAGTGGTCACATAAACTGTTATCATTTCATTAAAGATTCAATAATGAGAGAAAGCCAAGCTTAATGTCATATGATTTCTATGCTGTATGTCATCGAGCTAGTGACATTACTTATTGAACGTCCCTCGTACGCATAGAAGACGGTAAACCAAAAAAAAAATGGCAACAACGCTAACTTCTCTCTACAACTCAAAACAGAGCGCGCAGCGTATAAATTAAAATTTGGCGCGAAGAAATCATCGAATAATGTGTAGAGACCCAATGCAATGAGATAACAATCAGGAAATATGGGGGTTTATAAACTTCTGGTGAAAGGCGCCAAGCAAATCGTGACCATACGAAATGACAGCGGTGTACGGGTACTTCGAGGAAAGGAGATGGGTCATGTTGACGTCATAGAGGCAAAAGATGGAGACGGAGCTTGTATTCTTGTAAACAGGTGAGAATTGTACAATTATTTATACAGGTAACACATTGTCTACAGAGTTATCACCACGTAACGCAAATACACAAGCTTATCAATGCAGCTATATATAGGTCAATTGATAATGATTTACTTATACAATAATGGAAAAGTATGGCACACGGTGGCACAACCCGTCGTAAAAACATGCTTTTACTTTCAATAAAGTAGCAATCATAATGCATAAATGATATATCAACATTTATATATGTATTGAAAAAAAAAATACATAATTCAATATATCTATGAATCACTGACTTTTATTTTCCTTTAGTGACGGTAGAATAGAGTTTATTGGTTTGGACTCGGAACGTATATCAAGATATCCAACCAGTGATGAAGAAGTGAATCACGTGATTGAAGCTGACGGGAAATGCATAATTCCTGGTCTTGTAGACGCCCACACACATCCGGTGTGGGTTGGAGATCGAGTCCATGAGTTTGCTATGAAGGTTTTTTTAACATCCCATATCGCAATACATGAATAAATCAGTAAAAAAGTGGAAAATATGCTGCATGCTAAAAATTATACCGGTCCAGCACTTTATGTAGATATAAAACATAAATTCAAAATGAATGTAGAATAAACAACACAGACACAAATCCACACTAAATTTATATAAGTTATCAAAGTAAGGTACTTTTGCAATCATTGCAAATACCTTTCTTTAACATTTCAGACAAATGCTTATTTTACAGTATATTTGTACTTTTGTAGCTAGCTGGTGCTTCGTACATGGAGGTCCATGAAGCCGGTGGAGGCATTCATTTTACCGTAGAAAGGACAAGAAAGGCGTCCCAAGACGAGTTATATGTTAGCTTTAGCAAACGCCTTTATGATATGTTATCTACCGGAACCACGTGTGTTGAGTGTAAGAGTGGATACGGACTAGACACAGAAAATGAGATAAAAATGCTGAAAGTAATTGAAACTGCCAAACGAGAACACCCATTGACGATATCATCTACCTTCTGTGGTGCTCATGCTATTCCAAAGTATGACTGTAACTCTATTTCTTTTATAAGGGGAACCATTAAAACACTTCTGAAAAGATATTTGAAAATGTTTTCTAATACTCTTAATATTATGACTTAAAAGAGTCTTTTAATTTAGAGGATCGACAGCAGAAAAGGCAACAGATGACGTCATAAATAAACAACTTCCTGCCATTATCAATCTCATGAAGGATGGAAAAATTCATGTAGATAATATAGACGTCTTTTGTGAGAAGGGAGTGTTCGATTTAGAACAATCGCAGGCTATATTGAAGGCCGGAAAAGAGGCGGGTTTGAACATAAATTTTCATGGTGATGAGTTACATCCACTCGGTGGTGCTGAGGTAATGATTCGGCTTTAAATAACATAACTGGAGATCAGAATACCACAGTAATCTTCTTAAGTCCGTATTAAATTGTTACTTTGTATCTATCTTTCTCATTACATGACCATCGC